AATAACTCGACGTTTCCTCACAAGAATGAAATTTATCTGGCTGTAAAAACGTCTTACAGATTAAATTCCTCAGAAAACATTTCCAGAGTTTCATAGCAAGGCGGAACTGCAACCGATTATTGCCGATTTTATACGGGACCAAAATTTTATTTATTTGTAATTATTTAACCACGAGAAGCTCAATAACTCCATTTCGTCAGTAAATATTTTCTTACATTCTTTAGATTTTGCACTAGCTGTTGGACAAAACCTGGACTCTGGAAGCAAGATCTGTGTAGCGCCAATTGTATATCCAACCTTACATTATTGTAAATGGCGTTATATGCGTCAATGTAAGGGCACTGTCGATAAAGAAATAACCTGTTTTGTCGACACGGAGTATCTAATTTAATCGATAGTTATTGTGTAGCTACGTATATGTGCGGGGTTGCCGAGGCAATGCGTAATGACCCGGGAACAGAGAACCATTGTCGCAGCGATCCGAATTAAGTGGATCAATGTCTAGGTTGCAATTACGTGATATGAGTATTTAAGGAGATTCATGCTGAAAAAAACCCAGGCAGTTGTCATGACTGCAATTCATGCCTTAACCGCAAGTCCTACTGACAGGAACATTTCGCTTTATTTTCTTTTCATTGTCATGTTTTCCATGTGTCCAGGATCCAAGAAAACAAATTGGGAAATGCACGCAAAACGTAACAACTCTGTCTTGTTTTACGAAAGTATCCATGGTAACCTGGAAATTCTGTATCCAGTTATTTCGACTCACAGTAATGGTTGTAAGTCTTCGTATTCTTTTGCTGACCAATTGTAATCAAAACTGAAATATGGCAACACATTAAAACAATATCTAGTATCAAATTTTATGAGAATCGATTCAGCCATTCTCGAGTCTTTTGCGTAGAGACTGGGCGATTTTAATAGGCGTTCCGCGTTGATGTAAACGCACCCGAAATGAGATTATTTCAAAGAATTTAATGTTTTATCGTTCTTTTAAAAAAATTGTCAAATTAGTAAAGTTCATGAGTCGGTCTAGTTCAAATATGAGAGCTATTTTTATGGCCTGGACAACTGGGTTTCTATTTACAGAAAGGGCGGGGGTTGTTTGTGCCGTAACGTTCAGACCGTTTCTGAGGCCCACCCGGTCTCCTTCAGGTCACGTACACCTGACATAATGCGTCTTATTATTATTACTCATGTGTTTCTAGGTTAATAATGTTAATGGCACTAACATTACGTTTCTTGATTTTTACGGGAGATTCCGTTCACTTCACCGAGTTAATTTTCAGAGCTATTTAAGAGATATGCGGGTTACGTAATTACATTTGGTTTCTCATCTGTTTTGGTAACCACACGTTATCTATGAAATTACTGAACCGATTTCTAGTTAATTGGGTATTTTGGGCGCTACACTCACGTATACATCAAGTCCCAACAAACAGCTGGCACCTGCTTTCCGTGTTTCCTGGCAACTAATTGTAGAGAGACACTCTCTCTCTCTCTCTCTCTCTCTCTCTCTCTCTCTGTCGATTCTTAAACCGTAGGTACCTTATGGTGCAACAATGATCAAGTTTAATGCTTCTGTTCTTGGAACAAGTAGCGTTGTTGGAAAATGAATACCCTAGGTAACAGTGATGACGTTGTAGAACGCCTTTGGATTTGTAATTCGACCAAATGCAATGCACACGTGTCAAAGAAGTTGCCGCCTGAGCTTGGCGTTTATCGGAAATTGTATTCTTGAACTTGACGGCATAATTCGTCGATACTTATTCCTGCTTCATAGCGTAAATGTTTCACTTTTGTGACACTTCATACATATAGTAATTTGATATGTGGTTTGGAAAAGTCTATAGTATGAATTTATAATGTGACCCGATATGCAGGATTTGAGGTTCTCACGGCGGTCAGTCTAAAGATGGCTCTCTTCTGGGTTGTTGCACCTTGTAGTCTGGTAGAAGTTAACCATCATCATCAGGGCGACGACTCATCGCCCTGATGATGGAGGCATCAAGGACCTCTGAAACGTTGGTAAAATTTTACCAGACTACACGGCGCAATAAGCCAGAAGACAGCCATCTTCTGACCCAATATTTGCTGCGTGTTCTGTTTTTACCATCCTAATAGTATCTAGTGGTGAGTACAAATTATGTAGCTTTTTTGTAATTTTTACGTTATCTTTGCTTAATGTAACAAATATTTAGTATTTACATTTAACGGAGATGGAATACTTGGCATACGTGGGATAATTAATCGTCAGTTGGAACTGGTGACCTGGTGACAGAAATCATTTTCCCGGAAAACAACTGGCTGCTCGCTGTTGCATTACTGCTCTCTCTGACATGAATTTCTCCGCTTAACGCGTGGCTTATCTTTCGGGTTAAGCTTTACCTGCAAGGCATCACATTCTTACGTTCTAGTTGAAAGTATTCATATAATTTTCGCCAAAGTTAACTTTGTCGGTGCTTTGTATTCTGTAGTAGTGTCTGCTTCTACTGTCGTAACTGGATCATTTAATTTTACTTTTAGTTTCAGAAACTTTGAAAATTTTAATATATCGCAAACTGAAGAAAAAGATAAATGCACATAATATATTGGTTGAGAAACCTGAAGAGAAGAAACGTGGATGGGATGATAATATTAAAAGGGATCTTAAGGACATAACCTGGGAGAGTTCTTGTGAACAACGTAACAGGCCTTCAGGTTCCATATAAGGCGGGTAATTTTTTAACGAGCTTAACGATTATTAACATTCTCCTGTGTTCAATGTAGTTAGACATTTTTACCCCCCTTTTACAGATTTCCCCTTTATTTCTCTTGTAAAACATGCCATATACATGCACATTGCGTAAAAGATGTAGTAGACGAAACATGTGCATGTTAGCCTAGTCCCTGGTCGTAACACAATAGTGTATGATTAAGCGCTCTCAGATTTGAAATGTAAATTGACTAACTCGGTTACAGGGAAGGACGCGAAGGAGTCCGGAATGTTCCTCTCAGCCCAGTGATGGTGGCGATGGCGTGAAAATTAACCAAACTCATAATTGAATTTCCTTTTATGTCCCAGCGCACTACTCATTTAGAGGTGTGCACGTTAGTGTTAGTAATTTAATTCAGAGTTACCCTTCTCTCTCTCTACACCCCTAGTTACATACGAAGCACAGCGAAGAAGAATTAGTTTTGTCAGCGCTGAAGGATGAAAAACAAAAGGGGAGGTCACCTTTTTCTCTCAACACAGGAATGTCGCGTATTGTCGTCATGAAACACGTGGGAAACGCAATTAAGAATTCCAGAGTGGTCACTCAAGCTACAGAGCATACAGGCCTAAATAACAATGCTATAAGACACCTAAAATTATTATAAATGATTTTAATATACTCCTTCAACTGCTGATTTTTGTCGGAAAGAAATTCCCAATATTAAGCACTTTAATCGACTGTAATGTAATATGAGAGTAAGGGTCTATAACAGTTTCTTAACATTGCACTGACAACCTTCAAGGTTATAGGTGATTGATTGTCTTAATAAGTTAAAGACGGTCTCTAAGGAATGTACTTTAAGTTTAGGCAACCAACATAACATACGAAAAACAAGTCTAAAAACGATTGGTAGAAGTTTATTTGTATTGAATATGGTTGCGTTTTGAGTTTCTGCGCAGTGTAATCTGGTAGAAGCTTACCCACGTTTCAGAGGTGTTTGCTGCCTCCATCATCAGGGCGATGAGGAGTATTCGTAGCCCAAAGTAACAACCCAAGAACCAGAAATATCACAAAAGGTTCCTAATATTTAATTATATAAACATAATTGAGCTGTAATTGATTGAGTATAAAGCTTTTTTATGCCCCTTGTGCTGTGTACTGTATATTACAGAGCAGCCCCAAGTAAGATAACTCTGCTAAGTGCTGTATGTTCAACATCTCCCTGTATGATGGACGCCCCTCGATGCAATAACACACCAACTTAAACAACTACGGGATTGTTGTCATCCATTATCCTTGTTTATACATTAAACATCCCGTTTTTCTGAAGACGATGCTTTAAATTGCGGAGATCGATTGAACTTTCTTGGTATAGTCATCGTAGGACGGAAAACTAGTGTTGGAAGCATTCCGGTTAGTCAAGACCAGATAAGACAAGTTTATGTAGGACTTGAGGTTTTGACGGTGGTGTCTGAAGACACATTTAGTTCATGGTCACCAGTGGAAATAAATTAGTCAGCTGCGAGAAAGTTATCGGAGGATGGGTTTACTGTTACAGATGTAAGTGGTTGTTCAAGATTTTATATTACATGTAATTTACGGTTATCTAATAGTCAGCACACACATTTTGTAGCCAGAGACAGTTCAGTGTTTCATCCTGAGTAATGTCATTAATATTGACAAAACGAAATAAAATATATCTGGGCCAGTATAATTGTAGTAAGCCGCAGAGTCTCCTTCTAAGACAACGGGTATATTAAACATCTCTCAGACAGTGAACAGGGCCAAAACAAATTGCAGTGTAATTAATCAACTGACCAGCACTCTGAGAAGCCGTAACTTCTGCAGTAGCACAGTGTCGATAAGTAAACAACACACGGACTTGGTGCGCATGCACGCACCGCGAAGATTTACAGCTTTCCTTTCCCTGCACTATCAAAGAGACAGTTCTTTTCTGAGGGATAAAAAAGGGAAAAAAAAAAGAAAAGAAAAAAAGAGATTGTATTCCGCAAAAGGAACATCTTCACTCACCGGTTTCACAATTTGTTTGCCCGCAGTGCTAAGTTGAAAACAGTTGGATAACATTTCAAATTTTGAATTTTATATTTTCCCGCCTTTTATAGTTACGATCCCGCGTATTTCAAGGTAATAATCCAATACTTTTGCCCATCTCTGTTTGTCCAAGATGAATCTGTATCATATAAAGACTTCCTCATCCCTTCGATGTCCTCAAATCCCAATTTTCTCTTCATTTCACATCCCTCGCAATCTTCTATAATCTTATACAATCTCAATCTCCTTTAGAAGAGATCGTTACGGGACTGCCTAGATGGCAGGCGTAGTGTGACGTCACCAGCGGAACTGCGTCATCACACAATAGGAAGGAGATGGTGGGGAGCGGGACATGCACTCCTCGTCAGTGTGCCGCGGACATTGGACTTGTTAGTGTGTGGTGCGGCGAGAATCAGTGAAAGAATGACAACACGGTGGCAGGGTTGCGCCTCTGCGGTGCTGGTGATTGTGTTCGTGGTGTCTAACAGGGTGGCGACTGCCAGGAATCAGACAGTGGAACAGAAAATTCGCGATGACCCTGATCTGTCAGAGGTGAGATTAATTAGTATGAAATGCATTTTATGTGTCAGAATCACTGTGTTTGATTAAAATATCATATTTTTTGCTTTAATCTTATTCTGTAACGTTGTTATGAATGCTCAGATATTCATTTGTGTTGGCGTTCTCGACTGTTCCCGTGAGTGGCTTGGGTCAGGTACGCGACAGGTAGGAAAGATGGCTGGTCAGGATTCCATGGAGGTTGTAAAGTTGTGGGTGTTGCGGTTGTGGCATGAAGTTGGAAATTCTAACGACTGCCAACTTAAACGTTATTTTAATCGGAAGTTCATCAACACAAAATGAGCACGATTTAATTTTATTCTAATAATAAACCGCTGTTATTTTTTTCCAAACGCAATTTAATCGGCTGTTTAGTTTCTGTGTATGGAACAGCAAAGTCCGTAATTTATGATTCCGACGTCCGCGATTTTTGTAACATGCAGTGCGTTATTTTGGGGGTAACAGCTGAATGTGTACGTGCTTAGATAAACTTCAGTCGTGAAAGAGTTAACACACCTCTGCGTTATAGTTAATGTCTCTTCAGTGTCTCCTTTCTCATTTTCTTTTTCCGTGTTTGAATCGAATGTCCTTGTGAATAACTGAGACATTCCGAAGTACGTTTATGTACAGTTACTGACGAACGAAAGAAAACTTACCAAAAGAAGGAACGAGAGGTCTGTCCTCTGAGTAAGTGTTTTATTTCTTCAAAAAGGCGCGACGTATTTCACAGTAAGAGGGTGCTGAGAATTTCTTGGTGGGACGAAGGGCTTTGGATCTAAATCGGTTATAAGAAGTAATACGGATTTGTTTACTCAGGTCAAACTTACTGCCGACTGTTTACAATCTTTTGCAAATGTCAGCTGTGAGTCAAAATTAAACGGTATAATTTACATCCGTTCAGTGCCTTGTTATACAGTGCGTGATTTGCCCTCAACCTCCCTTTTACAGATAGGTCAACGGGATGATGCTTAGGCTGATGGGTAACTTGATCTATTCTACTGTATTTTACGAGATCCGGATTTTTACTCTTGAGCTCTGTCATGTGCTGATCTTACAAACTCCATTTGTAGTCGGCGCAGTAGTTTTTGGCCGGTGGAATTTTCAAAGGGAAGGCTAGGAGCGAGTCATTTGTGCGATAGTATAATGCTGACTGCACCGAGGAGCTTGTGTGACTGAACGCCCAAACAAAAGAAATACACTGACCGTGCCACCTCAGGTACACAGAGTAGGCCCGTCCGCCAGCTCCGGTAGCTTCTCCACCGGCCAAAAACTACTACTACTATACTTGATGCGATTCTGTAGTTTCAGTTGGTGGCAGATGAAGTAAATCTTAGGATGGCTGTCCTCTGGGTTTCAGTGCCGTATTGTGTACCTCCATCATCAGGGCGATCGCCCTGATGATGGAAATAGCAAGCACCATTGAAATGTCGGTAAACTTCTACCAGACTACACAGCGCCACAACCCAGAAGACAGCCATCTTCTGTGTCCATTTTATTTTAAAGTGAAGTAGCGGATCTCGTGTTTCCTCGTTTTCGCGTTCGATGAAGTCGATGGTCTTTGTTGGTGTGGAAACTATACAAGGAATAATAAAATTAACTTTTGTCTCACAGTTGTCTTTTGGCGTTGAGGATACGTTATTTTTCAGAGTTTAACGAGGAACGGTTGATAAGAAATGTCTCCCCTTTGAAATGGTTTTGTGTGTACGTCAATTTGTGTCTAATGGAAGTGGTTTAGAAGTCGCTGAATTGCTGTTCATCGTTTTTCGATAAATCGCGTTGAATTTGCTGTTCTGGAGTGCTGAGTGGCTTCTACTCCATCACCACTAAAAGAAATGTTATTCTAGTTTCATTACTCTTGATTTTATGCTCCATTCTTGTCGTTGGTGTTAGTGGTGTAATGTAATCGCATTCCTCCTATAGATTTATAGCCTATAAGTTTAAGCTTTGAAGTAACGGCAATGGAATATCACACAACATAAAAATTGTTGCGATCATAGGTTCTCACGGCGGCGAGTTTGAAATGGTCTTCCGAGTTGTTGATTGTGTTGTTCAGAGGTCCCTGCTGCCGTCATCATCAGTGCGATGGTCATTGCTCTGATAATGGAGGCAGCAAGCGCCTTTGAAACGTTGTTTAACGTCTACTGCGCAACAGCCCAGAAGTCTGCTGTCTTGTGATTTGTCCCTGACCAGGAAGCAAAGATATTGGGCCATAAAGCAACACCATTTTTCATAGCCAATTAGAGTACAGCACGGAGCAGATTCCCCCTTAAGAAGGCGATACCCGAACCGCTAATGAATAAACTTCTTTCATCCTGAGAACTAAAAGATTCACCGATGTGGTTACGGGAACGTATGAGGAGCAGCTCGTTAATAAACTGGACACATGCTTGATAATGGCTTATTGTCCGAATTTAAAACTGTTGACTCATTCACTGTGCATCGAGTAGCTGTTCATTAGTCATCCGTTAGTCCCAGGCGGTTGCATGATGCATTAGTCATTCCACAAATTATCACGTGATTTTTACACCTGGTTGAAAGCAACCTTACCGAAAAGAGCAGTTATTAATTTCAAGCTAGTAAAATAATTTACATTCTTTCCTGGTATCCAATTTTTTTCATCGTGTTAGCAACAGTCGGTGACTGGACTATTCTGAATCGGGTGATTACAGTCCACACTCGCCATATTTTTAAGATCCATTTTAATGGTATACTCTCTTCTACGTCTGTATCGCCAAAGAAGTCTCTTCCCTTCAGGTTATCAGACTAAAACTGTTTTCGCATTTACCATTTACCCCATGCGTGCTACATACTCCGCTAATTACTTCCTCAGCCTTAGACCCAAGACCAAAAACTTCTTCACAACATCCTGTTCTCAGACACCACAGTCGGAAGGCCGTATCCCGGCACAGCCGCCAAAAACTCCGCTTGTACCTTATAAGCCGACCATGAGCGGTATTTTTATGCAAGAGCGATTTATGTTTAACGTAGTTTCGTTGCTTGGCAACCGTTGAATTTATAGGCGATCGCCGTGTGGCGTCGTAGCGGATACAGTGTTCAACAGATATGTAACTTATATTCATAAGACTGGTATAATAAATAACCAATTTCATTATTTCGGAAGGAGAACGGGCTCTTTCGCTGGTGGCACAACTCATAAATTCAAGCGGCCGCCGTCCTTAAATGTTTTAGTCGTGTAAATAAGCGGTACAGGCAAGCTGCAACGCTGGCTTCATACCGAGTTTCATGAAAGTCACTGTTTCAGAAGTTAATAGTGGTGTCGGGAGAAGTAAGACGACCTCCACTTCTCTCTGGGATTTGCAGACACGGACATGATGTAACTTTTCATATGAAGTATGGAAAGTTAGTTAAATAGAGCCAGATATTCTTCTAAACTTAACTTTATTATCATGTAGGTTTAAGGAGCCACGGTGGTCTAGCGGTTAGAACGCTGGCCTTGTAATCCTGGAGTCTCGGGTTCGATTCCCGGCGGTGCCCGAATTTATAACTTGTGTTGGGCAAGGCCGTGGTCTAGGCAACACGGAGTTTTCCTCCGGGGGCTTCCCCGGTTTCTCCGTGGCATCCCAACAATTACTCCATTCACACACAGAAGAAGGCAATGGCAAACCACTTCTGGATCATCTGCCAAGAACGTATATGAACAGCTCCCAGTCCGAGAAAAGGATGGAAGGATCCTGTTCATATGGACCGGTCCTCAGACAGAACACTAAATAGTAATAATAATAATAATAATAGGTTTAAGGCATAACACGTCTCTGGGATATTACGTCATGTATTATCTTAGAAATTGACGGACGTTTCGGGGGTGCCTACTGCTTCCGGTCAGTTTCTGTAGACCAGTATGGTGAGGATAATCGATGCTATGGGGCGTTGATTTGTACCTGAATTTAGACAACGTACACAACGGATTTTCATTTTATTCCTGTTTGGATTGACGGAATAATGGGCCCTATTTAAACATCGACATGGGATTAGCAATTAAGAATTTGTGCTGATTAATCATCCATTCGATTACAAATATAAATAGCCTCTTCTGACTTTGATTCCACTGTCAGGTAAATCTAGTCTTTGGGCTACATGCAGTGGCCGTTTGCAGAACTAAATGCCCACTTCCTTTATGGTGTTAAAGACTGCTTTTGCTTTAAACTAAGAACCAAATGAATTGAAATAGAATGTAACTAAGGATAGTTACTGCAATGAACAATAAATATCCCCCTTTTATGAAACCCAAAGTTGATTACCGTATAAACAGAATCTACTACTGGACCATATCCCGAACGATCATTAGTATACTAACTTCAGCCTTTCAGTGGTAACTATATGTACCATCGGTTTTGACGAATCCTTATGAGTTTTTTGCCGGCAGTATATTTATGGGTCTCTTATGATTATCAGAATAAACAGCAATTATTTCCCGATAACAGCTTTAATTAACTGATCTTTGTAATGGAGACACGTTGCTTTCTTTGAGGTAGGAACTGAATGCTTAAATTATATTTAGATGAGTTTCGGGCTTCAAGGGTTTATGTGTGGCTACAGGTAATTAGCGTAGCTGAACATACCCATCCCAGACAAAATGCGTTTGTAAGAGACTTCTCGTCCTGGAGAGGCTTCAGTGCTGAAGGGTTTGGATTAAACTTGTCTGCAGAATACTCGCTCTTTACAGACAAGAAACATGCATAGGGTTCAATGTCAAGAATCGAACCCGTAGTCTCAGTAAGTAGAGCGAAGACATCTTCACCGGTGACAGTTGTAATTCTGAAACTGTATCGAGGTCACGACAATTACACGTTGTAACTATGAAAGAGGTTTTACAGTTAAGTGAACTCTTTGCTTTGTCGTGATGTGGTGTTTTTATTAAGTGAAATCTACTCTACGAATTATAAGCTAGACGTGAGCGCTTTTATGTTCTTTCTACGCTTATTATTACTGATCTTTGGTAACAGCTCTGATTTGAAATAAGACGTTAAATTGTG